CTTTGGCAGAGAAAACAAAGGTCACTCACTCGTTGTCTTCAGCGAGGTACAAAACAATGCACAATCTTTGTTACACGTGCCTCAAGGCAACCGAAGAGACTAGAAACGAAATAACAGGCCAGCTGAAATTGATCTTTTAAAGTAAAACGAACATCATGACGGATTAGAAAACAAATCAAACTGTATTTGTACTTCTACAGACACGCATGAAGAGCCAACCCTTCTGTTTGAGTTTGGCTGGCTTGTCTTATTTACACATAAGAGCCCAGAATATCAAGCAAAGATGAGTTAATTCATCGCTAGTTTACAGTTAAAGATACTTCACCCATCTAGAATATGGCACGTTAAGTATTACATATGAGAAACACGTTCGTAACGTGGCGCCAAATACATTTTAATACTCACACTTCTAAAAATATGTCACATCATACGTCTCTAGGAGAGGGTGAAGTACTTCTTGAAGACAGATTAAAAAGTTTGTGGTGCTTTTTGTGAGCTAGCAGCAAAGAAAACGGAAAAAGTTTGCGTTTGTGACTGAACGTTGTGAGAGTGGCCAGCTGAGTTGCCGTCGGCCTGATTTGCTGTACGAGGGTGGATAAATTGCTGTCAAATATGAAAAAACAGAGTGGTAAATATTCTGAAAACATACATCGCTGAAAGGAACAGTATGGTGTCGTCTCAAAAAAATAAAATAAAATAAATAAATATATATTGGCCTTATAGCAATGCAGGTATAGCCTACATTTTTTTTGTTTATATATTTGTTTGCTATTTCAAAAAATATAAAGCTTTTTGTCATAGTTTCTATTATTGGCTTAGGTTATTAAATAAAATTTGTTGATCTTTTATTTCCCTTTTGTTTTAAAGTAACATGCTGCTTTTTAATATGGCAGTTTTACGTTTTTATAGGTCATCCATTTTGTTTCATGCACTCTTGTTGATTTCGTAACTTCCCAAGTATCTACACGGCGTGAGCCAAATTGATTCTTGTGAGGAGACCCCCATCAACCTATGTACATAAATGAAGATGTTGTTTGATTTACAACATGGGTATGGAACCCCTCTTACTCTTAAATGCTAATGGTACATGTCCATTGTATCGTAATCTTGTCTTAGCCTTTTCAACCAATAAGAGTAAGACAATCCTATACACAGACAGAAGAGAAGCTGAACAGCCCTTAAGTCCCTCTTGGTCCATCAGTCTGGCTTGCTCTCTCTCTTTTAAAGAGTGAAAGTCCAAGTACCAGAGTGGCACCCTCTTGTGGCACGAGCATGAAACGCACCCTCCCCGAGGATCCTCTAAAACTGATACCACTTCTTGTCTTTGCATTTCAGCATCAGCTGTGGAGGGCGAAAGTGAAAACAGAGATTGAAAAAGCAAATTAAGATTTATTTGTATTTATATTTCTGTTTTCTCATTCTCTCGCTCTCCTACATACCTCGTGAGCGTGTTTAGAGAAGGTGTCGGCACTGGTCATCATCAGCGCGGTCCTCTCCTCCAGCTCCCCCAGCCTCTGTCCTCTCTCGTCCAGGGCAATGCGAGCTCGGGCCAGTTCTCCCACCACCCCGCCTGCTGCCGCCTTCATGCCCTCCATTCCACCCTGTCCTGGGATGTGCTGTGCCAGGCTGCGGGACGCCTTACCCGCTGCTGCCTCACCAACTACAGAGCAGGAGAGAAAAAGGGAAACAAGACAGCGTTGTTATTGTTAACTAAAACTAAAGTAATTAAAAAGTCATTAAACTAATTCATTAAAAGGGAATCTGAAATATTAAAATAAGAGCTAATTCAAAATATTAAGACATTTTATAATATTATATAAATAATACAAAAATAACACTAAAACAAGGGAAAATGGGAAAAAGAGAGAAATATTTTAGATTTTCAGATTAAAACTGATTTAAAGATTTTTCAAATTAAAACGGTCATCTTATATGTCAATCAGTCTCCTCATGTCTCAGTGGGCAGTTCTGAACCTGTTAGAATATGCTTACACAGGGAGGAGTGATAAATAACTACACTCACACAACTCCTCTCGGTCGAAGGTTTGGGCGTTGCCACCAAAAAAGCCCTTGAGAAAGCCACGGTTCTGAGCCTCAGGGGTCTCGATGGGTGTAAAGAGCTCCCCTAACATCTCCTGCAATTAATGAAGAATAAAAATCCGATCAAATATTGGAACGAAAGAGACAGCAGGATAGTCGATTCAAAACTCCACCAGCAGATGTCAGTATAGTTCCACATTTCACAATGTAATGTAAAATGGAAAGTTTTGACAAGACAAAACCTCTTTCTTGCTCTTGTGTGTTTGACAGACACAGTTAAAAAGAAAAAGGCTGTTTGGAATTAAATACTATACAGTATGCATTAAATATGGAATACATTTAAAAATGGTATGTGAAACAGTGCACTATGCATTAATAATAATTCAAACAGTAGTATGCCACATTGCTGTGTAGAAGATAGCAAGCAGCCTTCAAAAGTTTTTTTTTTTTTTTTTTAATT